CAAACAAAAACAAAACAAAACGACAACCAACCAACAAACAGAGCACATACGTTTTTCCGACGCGGGTATAGAACTTTTCTACCTCGAGTCATTTCTCGTTGATGTAGTTGTTTTTACACTTCCATCAACACAATTTAAGTCATTTAGGAGACGCGCCTTGACGTTCCAGCTCTTCCTATCCCGGGCTAGCCTCTTGATGTTCTTCCATGTCTTCCAACTTTTCGTTACATCGTTTTCTGAGACTCTTCTCCGAGTTTTACGAGACCTTCACCCTTCCATGAGGGTATTCATATATTATTATTATTGACAGCTGGTTGCATTTATTATACTTGTTGGTTTTGTTTCGTGTAATGTGATTGTTTATGTTACTTTATCGCCTTAGAATGGATGCCAACAAACTGTTGAGCAATAATCGTGTTCCCATCCCCTTTGTTCCACCCTCTACTGTGATCATTTTGTCAAACAAGGACAGACTGACTTGTGATTATCTACACGTTATTGTGGAAACGTTAACTGACACCATACTTTGAACACTTCTCGCAAAAAAACAAAAAACAAGCTCAATTCAAATTTAGCAAAATGTGAAGTTGAATCCTTACAAACCTATTGAGTTTAATTAACAAATAATTCATTCAGTATTTGAATATTTCGTATTTTTAATAAATAAAGAGACAATATTTTGTATACATTTATTGTTTTTGTTGCTTTTTATGGAATGAAAGAATGTCGCAGAAACAGTGACGCCGATAAAGTCTGGTACATCGACGAAAGTCATTTGTTTGTTTCTTTGTCTGTTTTTGTTGTGGCGTCAGTGGTCTAGTGGTTAGGCTACCGGGCTCGTTATCGTGAGGTTGCGAATTCGGGGGTTCGAGCCGCGGGCCCGACGTTATGTCCTTGGGAAAGGCACTTTACACAAATTGTCATCACTTCTTCCAGGTGGGAATGGGTACACCGTCAAAAATCATAGACAGCGAAAGATCTTGTCAGTATGCTAGTGTTTTAGCGCCAATAAATGACAGCTTGCACTGTTTGCTTCCCATGAAGTTGAGATTGTTTCAAAATGCTCTCAGGTCTGCTGGGGGTAATAGTATAGATTGTGAAGCGCATAGAGCTTGCTGTTGAGCGGGGATTTGACGCTATACAAATGTTATCTATTTTATTTATTTGGGGTTTTTAAAATCTACATCGCCCTGGTGTTTCCCTGTCCTTCATATTATGTTCAGGTTTTCGAAATACGTTGCTCTGGGTCGACCTCTGCCTCGTTTGCCTTCTATTTTTTCAGCAAGAGCTGGATCTCCTGAGCATTAAAAGTGAGAACGACTGAGACCAACATAGAGGGGTGAGGCGATATCTTGTCGATAACTCGTCGTTCAACTTAGACTAACTTAATGTCCAAATGTGTTTCGTGTTGGTTTCTTATTGTCCCTTACCACAAAGGCATTGAAAAAAATTTTATCCCTTGGGGGGGTGGGGGGTG